CCTGGAAAAGACTCTGATGTTGGGAAAGTGTGAAGGCAAGAGGAGAAGGGGACGACAGAGAACGAGATGGATGGACAGTGTCATTGAAGTGACCAACATGAATTTGACCCAACTCCGGGAGGCAGTGGAAGACAGGAGGGCCTGGCGTGCTCTGGTCCATGGGGTCATGAAGAGTCGGACAGGACTCAATGACTAAACAACAACAATCCTGATTATAAATTTTGTGAATAAGGGAGCAGAAACTTTCCTAATCTGTCCTAGCCAGATGTTGTGGCTATAGGAGCTGCCATTAAATGAAGACTCCAAGCTTAGAGAGGCAAATTGTGATGTGTTATTATTAGGCGGTACCTCAAGAGTTCAGCCAGCTTGCCCATACATTGCATTTTAATTGTGACATATGGCCTCTGAGACACTGAGTAACATGGTCATCTCCATATCAGCTAAGCTGAAGATTCAGTTTATTTTATTTATAATGGTGCCTCGCATTACGTTAATTTGTTCCAGCGAAATTGCTGTAGAGCGAAAACGTCGTAAAGCGAAATTAAAAAGCCTATTGAAATGCACTGAAACCCGTTCGATGTGTTCCAATGGGCTGAAAACTCACCGTACAGCAAAGATCTTCCATAGGGGTGGCCATTTTCAGTGCCTGTGCAGTGAGGAATCCGTCCCTAAGCACAGCAGGGGACATTTTCTTCAGCCGGTGGCCATTTTGAAACCCGACAATCAGCTGTTTTTGATCATCATAAAGCGAAAATCGATTCCTGATGCAGGGAACCGATCATCGCAAAGCAGAAAACCCCCATTCAAACCATCGTTTTGCAGTTGCAAAAGCAGTTGCAAAAACCTCACCGTCAAGCGGATTCGTTGTTAAACGGGGTAATCATAAAGTGGGGCACAACTGTATTTAAAATATTTACAGCCCACCTTTCTCCTCAAGAAGACCTAAGGTGGCTTACAGTCGAAAAACAAACAACAGTGAACCACCTTTTTTTTTAAAGGAGCAGTATCATTTTAGCAACCTGCTCTTAATCTACCACTTACTGAGAAAAAGTCATTCTTAAGATCGACATGTTTGCCTGTTTGCAGAAGAACAGCGAGCAGGGGACCATCCAGTGGAAGGGAGTTCCACAGTTTAGGTGGTTTTCCAAGGAAAAAATAATTGTTGAGTTAAAGACAGTTATGGTATTACCCAGTGTTTGAAGGAAGATGCAGGCCTCAGTAATGGTCTGTGATCGCTGTGAAGGTTTGGGTGGTGGTTCTTGTTCTGGATTTGACACCTTGGCTAAATGTCTGAGGTTGACAGGGACAGGCAGAAGGCAGAACTGGACTTACTGGTGTATTCTCGAATGATGTGGAGCAAACTGGCAAGCATTTTCGAGCTACATTTGCCACATAATCATCGAGCATAAGGAAACATTCAAGTTGACATCAGAAGGGTTGACGCTACATCGTTGCAAAGGATTTATGACCATTAAAATATTGAGAAATCTTTATAAAATGGATTTGTTAATTAACTTGCTAACCTTTTAAACTAAGTAATTCATTGCCTGCCAAAGTTTTTTTTAAAGGCTGCTAGACAAATAATGTTGATTCGTACTCCAACTTTTAAGGCCCGTGCATTAAAATGTCGCACAGCCTTGTCACAGTATCATTCCTACGCTATTTGTTAGATCGATTATTCCAGCAGATCTCATGTAATGATTTTTGCCTGCTTGTAAGGATCCCTGCCGTTCATTCTTGCGACTGGCAGAAACAATAAACGGGCGCCCTTTAATTGATCGAGGGGTGTCTTCGACCTGATCTGTGCCAGCCAAAATGTGGGTCAAATCACGGAGTTATTTTCAGAAACACAAGTTTGCTGCCCACAGTGACAGCCTCATGAGAGCTAGAACATCTGTAATGATTCAAGAAATGTGTTTTGTTAAAGGTGTTTGGCCGCCAATGGTGCTGATCATCAACTTCCAAGGTGTGATACCTCTCTCCAGATGATCATAACACACAGCATCTTTCTCCTTGCGCCTTACAGAGATATGTGTGGGAGGAAGAATGAAAATTTTCCATTGCTTACAGTTGTGGACCGATCCGCAAACAAACAACCAGACTTCCAACAGACTAAAGAGAAGGAAAGGGAACACGCAGCAGAGAGGCGGGGCTCTCTTTTGAGTTCAGAGGCAGGAGGGAATGATTGGCTAGTGCTGGACAGATTGACAGTCACCCCAGCCAAACTTACTAAAGGCAGCATGCGAGACTGTAAAAACTCCAACTTTTTTGACCCATTCCTTCATTTTCATCAAGAGCAATTAAGGGCATCAAAACACCGCTGTTTTTCTTTCATCTCACCGTCTTATCTGTAAATACCTTTTGTATATCAGATACCCATATCTTTACCTAATGGGACCTCCATCTGTGACAGACAAAATGGCTCAGTAGCGAGCGAAGACAGCTTTTCACAAGCTCCCCGTTGGCTGACATGTGTTTTTCTACCAGCACCTGGGAGACTCGGGTGTTTGTGAAAGGACAGATCTTCCCCTGTGGCTGATTTTCGAGACTCGTGGGTTGCTTTGAGATTCTGCTATCTTGGAAAGCAGAAGTAAAGAGAGGGAGAGGAAAATGTGTTTCTATCAAGTCAGCTGGAAAAGCTTTAGGATCCCAGCTGTTTACTTAGGATTATTTCAGTGCTACGGGCCTCTGTTGCTACGGAGAGTAATAACCAGCAAGCTGAGAGTCGCTGTTAAATCTGTTGAGCTCGGAGTTTTTTCTTGCATGGCTGTGAACAACACATGAATGCCTAGAGTCAGAATAATCAGGCCATTCGGGTTTGTTTGTTTTTGTGCTTTTTTCATATAATGTTTTTCATGTAATGGCCTGAATCCTGTCACTTAGATAGGCACAACATCAAGCAAGGGCCGCAGAACGTTGCTGCTAGTTAAGAAGCCAACGTTTGCATTCCATGTCGGACGCCAGTCCCGTGACTTGACTCATGACAGGGAGTACAAACCTCGACTTCTTAAAAAGCGATTCACTCCCGCAGTTCATGCTTTTTGGCTGCTGCCTCCGCCTTGTGCAAATAACAAAATTCAGGCGGATGAAAAAGAAACGCATTAAGGTTCGCAAATACTCTGGAAATAGTCACAGCATTTAATACGTAGTATATCAACAGTGGGGAAGTTTCAGGGGTCATTTTCCTATCAAGACAGGGGCTATACCAAGCACTGTCTCCACAGAAAGAAAGAAAGAAAGAAAGAAAGAAAGAAAGAAAGAAAGTTGGTGGAAGTGGATTTTTACATTTTTAAAGGTCTTAGGGAGTTGGCCTATTCAAGAGATGACTGGCTTGTGGCAATTCACGTCCAATTTTCTTTTTTCTTTACTTTTTCTTCCGCAAAAAATTAATTTGGGCTGAATTTTTCATGCCAGGAGACGTGGAAACAAAAAGCAGTGTCAGATTTCCACCCTACAGGATGCCCCGATTCATTTTAAAGACGTCTTGGGACCCCTCTTCGTCTGTCTACTCGCCAGAGGCGAGCTGAAATTCCTTGTGGGTAAAGAAGCAAGCTGTCGGAGAAAAGCTGAATTGTTCTTTTTTCCCCCCTCTTCTGCATCCTCCCTGATGCTTGGCTTAGCTGTGGCAGAAAGAGAGATTCTTTTTTCTTCATAACGAGACGGAAGAGGGAGGGAGGACTCCCCTCAAAAAAACTCTTTTGAGGTTTGACTGGTTGCTGACAGTACGATATTTTTGGCACCAGGTCTGGGTGTTTTTATTTGCCTTAATCATTGTAAATTAATTTTATTGCCTTTATAGACTTCATAATTTAACAGCTTCATGGTCATATAAAGAACAAGGTGTCGTTTTTACTGTGCACTGCCCTGGAATCCATCAGGATGAAGGGTGGGTTTGGAGATGCATTGAAATATAAATAAGCAAACGAATAAATTGTTTTCTTCCTTGCATGTGCGTTTCTTCCCTGCTCTTTCCTTCCTCTGCCCAGGTTCCTGCAATTTCACACTTTCTGTAATTCTGCAATTCCACATTTAAGTCTGATTAAGTCTCAGACCTTGGTTCTCCAGATGTTTGGGGTGTCCAGAGGTCTGAGCCGGCAGGCCAGTTCTAGGAACTGAAATAAAAAAAACATCTGGGGGACCAAAGACTGAAAATCACCACCTTGTGGGAAAGCACCCCGAAGCTGTTAGACAACCACAAGGAGAAGAAAATCGTAGCCCATTGAATTGAGAGCGACATTTGATTCTGTTCATTTGGGCCTGAATAGAAACAGTGGTTTCCTGCCCTGATTCAGGTATTAATTTATTCTTAATGTTTACAATGAGTCTGTCATTCTCACCTGATACTTCTGTTGAGGGGTGTTAGGGGGGTTACTTCTGCTTAAATTTAAGGCCTAATTAAATGATCAGCGACAGCCCTTTTTGCTTGCCATTGTTACTTTATTTCACCTTTTATGGTTTTATCCCGCTGTCCATGTGTCGGAAGTACTCTCCCATCCAGATGAGGAAAGAATTTAATCGACCTCTTGAAGTTTATTCTAATAAACAAAACTTTGAGGCCTAACACTATTTGTTCGCTCGGTAGCATCTTAAACTCTTAAGGGAGGTTCCCAACCTTGGGTTCCCCAGATGTTCTTGGACTGCAACTCCCAGAAATCCTGGCCAGCCCAGCTCATGGTGAAGGGTTCTGGGAGTTTTAGTCCAAGAACATCTGGGGACCCAAGGTTGGGAGCCACTGCTAAGGCCTCCATCCAAGTGTTAATCGACTGGAGTAGATCTGTTGAGTTATGAGTCAACACTTAACTAAATCTTCTTGGTTCATTGATTGAAATCCAGTCGTAAGCAAGGAACCAGAGAGAGAGAGAGAGAGAGAGAGTTTAAATCCAGTCGTAAGCAAGCAACCAGAGAGAGTAAGAGACATAGCTACAGACCATCCTTGTTGACTCAGCTGATTCGCTCCTTGCCCTTGGAGGGATAAAATCAATTTTTTTTTGTCTCCTCAGAGCTCCCTTCATCGGAACACTTAAGCGTGGCCGATGCGACGTGGTTGGCACTCAACGTCGTCTCCGGAGGGGGCAGCTTCTCCAGCTCCCAGCCCATCGGGGTCACTAAGATCGCCAAATCGGTGATTGCACCATTGGCTGATCAGAACATCTCAGTATTCATGCTTTCCACCTATCAGACAGACTTCATCTTGGTAAGAAAAAATTTCTAGGAAATTATGTTCTCTCCATAAAGAATCGGGTCTGAACGACAACAGCTGGCCATTTCTGAGTTGGTAACTTCCAGATGTTTTGGCTTCCAGGTCTCCTTGGCCTGAGTCAGCATGGCCAGCGATTCCAGAATCAGGACCTTAGATTATAGAATCCTAGAACTGTACCTCTTCAAAGGACCTCAGAGGTCATCAACTCCCTGCTGAAGCAGGAGATCCAGAGATTCAGCACCCCTGAAAATCTAACTTCTGTTTAAACACCTCCAACAAAGGAGAGTCCATCATGCCAAGGATTTCATGTGTTGATGCTAATTCTTATATCTGGTATATTTGGTCCCTGGTAGATGGTGGGGATGCTATAGATGTAATATATCTTGACTTCAGCAAAGCTTTTTAAACACCTAAAGGAGAGTCCATCATGCCAAGGATTTCATGTGTTGATGCTAATTCTTATATCTGGTATATTTGGTCCCTGGTAGATGGTGGGGATGCTATAGATGTAATATATCTTGACTTCAGCAAAGCTTTTGAAAAAGTGTCCCATGAAATTCTGATTAGCAAGCTAACTAGGTGTGGGCTGGACACCACAACTATCAGGTGAATGCATGGATGGTTAAAGAATTGTGCTCAGAGGGTGCTTATCAATGGCTCCTTCTCAAATTGAGAGGAGGTAACAAGTGAGGTGTCACACTAACAAGATACATTTACCCAGAAGTACATTTTCCCTGCCATGCTCAGATACGTGAAAGGGACCTTCCTTTCGTGATGCACACACTGGCCTCTGAATTCACCATCCTCCGGGTCGTCAATGGCGAGACGGTGGCGGCCGACAGCCTCGGAATAACGAATGGATTTATGAAGCCAAAACTGGGTAGGTGCTTTCTGGCCATCCCATTCTAACTTGGCTTAGAGACAGCCCATGGGACAGGTTTGTTTCTATCTTGCCTTGAGAGCTCAGTGGCTTAGGTCTCTGGCTGTGGAGCCAGAGGTTGGGAGTTCGATTCCCCATGGGCTTTCAAAAAACAAGAGCCAACCTGGATGGCCTTGGGCAAGCTGCACAGTCCCAGGGCAACCCCAGAAGAATGGAATCGGAAACCACTTATTATTCCCTGCCTGGAAAGCCCTGGAAAAGGGGTTATGATAAGTCAAGATCCAACAGGCTTGGAAAACATGGCTCCATGTAGTTGTGAGCCTTGGGCCTAATCTTAATCTTAGCCATGAAGCTTCTTGTCTTTCCTGATGCAAAGCCATTGATAAATCACCAAATTATTATAGCTATAGCAGCATTAATTTCAGACCGAGGGAAGAAGGAAGGTGGTTAGAAGAGAGAAGAAGAGAAAATGTAGAGTGGGCTTCCTGCATCGCCTTTTTAAGAAGAAATCAAAGACTATTATGCCATTGCCCTTTTAAAACCCCTCTCTCACTCCCTTCCCAGTGGATGTATTAAGAAGCCACTAGGAACTCTGATTGGGGGGTGAATAAAAATAAGGCATAGCAAACTGCTGCTGGTATCCTTCCATCCTGCCTGCAGCATTTATGCGATGACATGGCCTTCATGTTTGCATTTCTTCATTTACAGGAATGAGGGCTTCACAAAGAACTGGAAATGCACAAATACCAGCAGAGACTCAGATAGGGGTCACATCAGAATGTCACCAAAAGAGCACAGGTTGGGTCAGATCCTAATTTGGGCACAGAGAAAGTCAGAGGGTCTCTGCATATCCCTAGTTGCAGCTGATTCTTCTCCTTGATTGGCTAGTTTTCTAAATGCAGGCAGTATGTTTGTTGTGAATCGAAAAAAGTTCAGCAGCCCTTTGGCAGTCTGTAAAATGGTATAGCCAGGACACTAGCTTTTCCATTTTCAGTAAGAGCAAAGCCTCCAGTCTTTTTCTCCGTCTTCCTTTCAGTTCAGAGGCCTGTCATCCACCCCCTTTCCAGTCCGAGTAACATGTTCTGCGTCACCAGCCTGGATCCTGATACCCTTCCTTCTGTCGCTACGCTCCTCATGGATGTCATGTTTTACTCCAATGGGTACGTTCAAAGTATGACGACGTTTCTACGGCTCGCCCAAATCCTATTCCCTGTGTACACTGGTGTAAAGACAAATGGGGTACAGTAAATCCCGGTGGCAAATGGCTGCTAGTGAAGTCAACGCTTGTATTTCTCCGCACGCACCAGTCTTGTGACTCGACATGTACAGGGAATACAAGCTTTTGCTTCTCAACGAGCGGAAATTTGCTACTGAAACTTATGCCGTTTGAGTTACACCAGCTTAAATAATTGGATCCTGGCCATTCTTTATCAGCTTCAAAATATATTTTAAAAATCCTACTATAGAAGTTGCGTGGACTGTCATGGAAGAAAGTTGTACGTAGCATCATCAGCGTATGCAAAAGTCTTAATTCATGTCTGGGAGTATCTGCACCAGTTTAAATAAGTCTCCATTGCTCTTGCCTCTATTTTTTTCCTCTCTCTCCCGCAGAGTAAAAGATTCTGTGGCAGCCAATGAAGATTCTGGCCACATTCGCTTTTTCTCATTTTCACTCATCGAGGGTTATATTTCTCTGGTGATGGATGTCCAGACGCAGAAAAGGTGAGGTTTGGCGCTAGCTTCGTAAATCCTTTTCTCGTGACCTCTGGAGTGCTTTGCTGGGAGTTTTCACGCACCGTCATCGTCAAAAAGCAAATCAAGGGGCTGGGGGGGGGGGAACCATTTCCTCAAAAAATGTTGGACCCAAAAAGAATGGCTGCCGCTCCCGGTGACTTCCAGGAGCAGCAAATTCTCCTTGAAAAGAACGTGCAGATATTTAGTGTCTTGTTCCTTCCACCAAACAAAGAAGCAAACAAACAAAAAGGATTCATGTTTTTAAGAGGTGAAAACTGAGACCTGACACTGACCGAAATTTCCATCTCTGGGTTAAACCATCCTTCCACCCGAGGTATATTCGTTCAGGACAAATTTTTGAACCGAAATTGAATTTCTGAAACGACTCTAAGGATTTTTGGCTCTGGGTTATTAAGGCATGAGTTTGTTGTGCCCTTTCCAAAATAGGTTGAATTTTATTTGTCTCTCATTCCCCCCCCCAGGTTTCCGAATAATTTGTTGTTTACAAGCGCGTCGGGAGAACTCTGGAAGATGGTTCGCATTGGAGGGCAGCCTCTCGGTTTTGGTATGTTTCCATCGCAGTGGTCGGCCGCTAGCATCCTCCGCGCCAAATCCCACCCTCTTGGTTGTTGAAAATAAATATCAACCCCTTCTCTCTTCTCTTTCGGCTCACCCTTCTGTTGCTGGAATGCTATCTGTAGTTGGTGCAATGTGTGGTGCTTTCAGAAGATGTTCAAGAACAACAGTGGATGTCACACAAGCTGCATATGACAAACTTTTTATTCCATTTATTCACCTATTGCCAGTTCTGTTCTTGTTCCTTTTCTCTATGACGTTGTATTTCAAAGTGGCCACACATTCGGTAAAAGTGCATATTGCACAGGGCACTGGAGTGCCTTTGGGCGGCCACCATTTTTTCCCCAGAATGCCCTTGGCAACTGCTATTTTGAATTGGGGGGGGTCGTAGATACGGCTGCCATTTTAGTTTTCCAGAATGCTTTTAAGTGGCCTAAGCTGTTATTGCATTTATTTATTTATTTTAAATGGTGAGCATTTTCTGCTTGCAAACAAACCACGGAACATTTAAAGAAGCATAACACACCCATTTATTTATATTCCCAGCCTTCCTTTCTTCTCAATGAGTGAAAAAATACGCTCAGTCCTTTTTTTTTTCTTTTACTCCAGGCTTGGCACGAAGAGCCTGTGGAACAGCTTAGGGAAAATCTGTTTGGCCCAGATTTTCCATTTGCTGCTAAACGAAGCTCTGTGCTCGTTAAACAGCTTTGTTTCTGCCTTCTGGGCCAGCCAGAGTTTCTACAAAAAAAAATCTTCATAGGCAGCTCTCTATCACAGCAGCAAAGGATGATGGTGGCCAGATCACATATTGGGGTTGACATGGAGTTTCAATAATCTGTCATTTCCCCCCCTCTAATTCTGATTTTCTCTATCCCTCCATGCTTCCTAGATGAATGTGGAATTGTGGCACAGATTTCTGAGCCTTTGGCTGCTGCCGATATCCCAGCCTATTACATCAGTACTTTTAAGTTTGATCATGCACTGGTAAGTCCCCCCGAAAAAAAAACACCCTTGTCATTTCTCAGAGGGCCAAGCCCCTTTGCCCGTGACATCATCAGTAGGTGACTTCCTGGATTGACCATGAGTTTTTTCCCTTTTCCATTCTAAAAAGGTTTACAGTGGTGCCTCACTAGACGATGATAATCCATTCCACTGAAGTCGCTGTTTAGCGAAATCATCATCTAGCAAAAAGCCTTTCCCCATTGGAATGCATTGAAACCTGTTTAATGTGTTCCAATGGGGAAGAATCGACGTTGTCTAGCGAAGATCACCCATAGGAAAGCTGCGTTGCGAACCACCAATCAGCTGTTTAAATAGCTGTCTTGCGAAGCTTAGGTCCCAAAAACACCCGTTTTGCGAGCACGAAGGGAGCTGTCAAAATCGTTGTCTAGCGGAAAATGGTTTCCGAAGCAGGGACCAAACATTGTCCAGCGAAATTCCCCCACAGGAATCACTGTTTTGCGAATCGCTATAGTGACTGCAAAAAGTCAATTTATAGCGAAAAAACTGTCATGCGGGGTAACTGTCTAGCGAGGCACCACTATAAATGCATCTCCTAAGAGTTATGGGCAATGACTGGATTGGAAAATATCCTGATACTTAGGGTCGAAAATCCTCCACCACAATATGGCACCCCAGATCTTCTGTGAACTGAATTTAGCCTTCAGTCTGAAAGAGGTTTTTTGTGTTTTCCTAATGAAAAGCATCTGGATTTTTGGAGCTTCAGGCCTACATTGACTGACCTTCTCCATTCTTGGTGTTCCACCTATCAGGTGGACACCAAAATGTGGCTCACCTGGGAGAGCGAGGCCTAGCTCCATCCAAACTTCCTGCTCAGAAAGGAAGCTCCCAGCTAACACCAGGGCAAGAACAGGAAGCTAGGCCTAGGTAAGGCTTCCAGTTGAGTTTCTCCCAGGTACACCACCCTTAGGTGTTTTTAAGGGAGGTAGAATGCAGAATTAGGGTACCCTGTTTCCCCAAAAATAAGACCTAGCCTGAAAATAAGCCTCAGTAGGATTTTTCAGGATGCTCGTCATATAAGCCCTACCCCAAAAATAAGCCCCAGCTAATTGAAATCCCCGCCCTCGTGCAGCAACCAGAAGACGACATTGACTGCATTTGAATAAATGTAGATTGTTGTACATGAAAAAATAAAAAATAAAACATAGCCTAAATATAAGCCCCAATGCATTTTTTGGAGCAAAACCTAATACAAGACCCTGTCTTATAGGCCGGAAAAAATTAAAAACCCCATCACCTGAACAAGTCAATGTCTTTCTCACACTCTGGCAGGCAGAATCAATCTTCATGGTAGTCATTAACTTTCCCATGATTATGTGGTAAGCTTTTTTCCACAGTATGACCTTCTAACCTGTTAAAAGCACTGGGGGGGCGGGTTGGGGGAAATCAGTTCTCCCTCTCAATCATGTCTACTTCATTCTTTTCACTACTTCTCCGTCACCCTCTTCTCCAGCTTGGTTACCTCTTAATGTGTACACACAGCCATAAGCCAACATGATCTTAGATAGCAAAGGTCAAACGGTTGACTCCATTGGGTTTGTTTTGTTGAACATTTACCATACTGATAAGATAAGCCCATCAAGGTCTGTCTGAAAGCTAACAACACCCTGGTCTGTTTCTCACTTGGGTGACAACAGCTTGGGGTCTGCACCCTTCAGGGGATGGCAGATGTTTCTTCAATGCATCTTCATCCAGAAATAATCCCCGTGCGGATAGAAACAGGAAGCGTGGAAGAAAGTTTGGCTGGAACAGCTCTCCTAAGAAGTGCTGGGCCAGAAATATATTTCTCAATGTATTCATTTTTTAAAAAATGTTCCCATTTGATCGGAGAGAAAAGAAAGTCCTTTCAAAAATTCAACAAGGGGGTTGGACCCGATGATCCCTGGCTCTGTGGTTCTAAGACTTAACTGCTGGACAGCTCAGGGGTTTTAGATCTCTGGCTGTGGAGCCAGAAGGTTGGGAGTTCGATTCCCCCACGGGGCCTCCTGGGAGAAAGAGCCAGCCTGGGTAGCCTTGGGCCAGCTGCAGAGTCCCAGAGAAAGGGAATGGCAAACCACTTCTGAGCTGGCTGGATAG